ACACCAATCCAAAATGACAGCTATCTCTCCCTATCTCTTCCATGCTTTGAAAAGCAGTGAAGTAGTGGCATTTTAGAAGTTAAATCAGTGTGATTTCAGTATCTTCTGAAACCAGCAGGAAATTCACTGCGTTCAGCTCTCTACAAACTCAGGCAGACACAGCTAAAATGGTCTGGATGACTGAGATTTTTTTAGAACCTCTCTGCAACCAGAAAAACCAGTTGCAGGATTGCAGAGAATGTCTGGAATAGGCAGAACAGTAGCAAAATCCATGATGGTTTAGAAATCAAGGGGATGTTCTTGAGGAGAGGGGAGTGGGATTAATTATGTTTCAACTAAACCAAATCTGACAGCTAGACATTAACAGGCAGATGTCAGTATGACAGGCTGAGATTTTAAATTAGGCAGAAAAATACAGGTCCTGGGGAGAGATACTGAACTGAAAGTGTCCTAGAGAAAGAATTCACCGAGATGGTCTTGTGGATGAGACTGGTGGAGAGGAAAATGAGAATGAAGCCAAGAATAAACTTAGGAGGACACACTAATTCAGGCTGGAAGGGACCTCAGGTCGCTGGTCCAGTCTTCTGCTTAAGGCAGGGTCAGCGAGAAGGCGTCTGGCCTTCTTCAGGTTGCTCAAGGCTTTATCTAGCTGGGTCTTGAAAATCTCTAAGAATGAAGAGTGCACAGTCTCTCTCAGCAATCTTTTCCAATGCTTGACTGATCTCTTAGTGATTTTTTCCCCCCTATATCCACTCAGAACTTCTCTTGTTTCAACTTAGCCCCATTGTCTCTTGTCCTCCTGTCGTTCACCATTGCAAAGTGTGGGCCTGTCATCTTGATAACCTCCTCGCAGGGCCTAGCAGGCTGCTATTAGGATGCCCCTGAGCCTTTTACCCATTTGCAGGGAACTTCAAGAGAATGCAAGACAAAAAAAGAGAGGAGAAATCTGCTGAAGGTCTGATAAGAGAAAAGAAACAGAGCTAGGGAGAGCAAAAAATGAGGAGAGAACTTATTCTGTGATTTAGGGAGGGGATAGCCTCCAGAGCTTTTAGGAAAAGCAGTTTTAGTTAAGCTCATGATGCAAAAGGCAGAACAGACAGTGCCTGGGATGAAACGTGGCACAAGGAAAATCAATGCAAAACAATGATGTAAACTATTAGCAAGAGGGGCTGAAAGGAGAGGAGCAGGTATAGCTTGTGGAAAGTGTAGACGGGTGAAAGGAATAATAAAAAAGAAGATATGAGTAAATACAGCCAGTGAGCTGTACTTCTTGGCAACAACTGGTTTTGGCTGTCTCCAGTATGCCTCTGAATCATCTTCAGCTGTCACAGGCCCTCCAGCCCAGTTCAGGTCCCCAAAGGGGACTTTATCCTCACCGGAGGATCACAGGGCAAGGAAATACCGCAAGGATTTCACAGCAAACCAATGACATTTAAAACCAGTTATTGGAACACACACAGTCCTACAAGCTTCTACCACATACACTGGTTACTGACTCATCCGAGACTGAGAAGACTAAAGGGGACAGCTGTATTACTGCATAAAGACTTTTCTGGAGACCTTAAAGAGCCTATAGATTTATAGCAGCTGACAATGATTCAGACACCCCGAGCAGTCAACCTAGATGCCATCACTGCAAAGATAAAGTACAATGAAATGAGAAGTTGTGCCAACTAGGCCTTTCGTGTCATACTGAGAGACAACATGAACTTCTCTGACCTTGCCTTCAATAACAAGCATACACAGCACAGCAGACAGTCAATAAGCGCAGGAACACCTCTCTTCCCAATTTTCCTCAAAGAAAAAGGCTAAAACCTCACAAATTATAAACGGCTCGCTGTTCTCTCCTGTAATCGGGAATAGCATCAAGCAGCCCTGCCATAAAATGGAGCCCTGAACAACACATAGGCACGGGTATTCAGATGATACCCAGCGGGCTGCAAATGAACTTGCAGCAAGGGCAGCAGAAGAGTTAGTTCCAGACACATCTGGTAAGTCTTCTCCATACCTCTCCTGCCCAGACTTTTCCAACCACAGCCTGGAGGTTGGTCATGAGCTCTGTAAAGCTAAAAGCTAACTCCAAACAGACATGACTGCCTAGCTGACTTTCCATTCCCTACCACAAAAACCCCATGGACAGATTCCTCCCTGCCTCTCATACCTATGCTGCTCCACCCCTGGTTTCTAATGGACTTTCTGCAGGATCTGTCTCTGCAATTCCACATCCCACAGCAAGTCACAACAGGATATGGGCAAAGACTGCACAGGGAAGGGTCTCCCAAGCATTTCTACCTTGGTCTCCTCCCACAAATTCTCAGGGACCAGTTGTTCCCGAAAGCCTTAAGACTGCAGCAAGTCAACATTTTATTTGAGCTAAAGGGCATTTTTGAAGAACAGCTCCTTTTCTGGGCATGAAAAATTTAGTCTGACTAAAACAAAGGTTAAATTTCACAGGATCAAATCCAAAACACGTAAATCTTTACTGTTTTGGCTGCTTTGTTTATTGGGAAGACCAGAATATTCCCATTTTGGAGGGAGAAGGACTCCCACTTTTTACTACTCCGAAAGCATCATCAAAACACATTCATTTGCCAAGCAGCTCTGGTTGCTATTACGTACTTACGTTCTTTGATCATGTAGGAGTCCCATTCACAGAATAAGACCAACTTGATAATGACACATAAAATCTTCAGAGTATCTAAAGGGTTTCACGGTATCTAGAGGGTTAATACTGTGATGCATCACTACGGTGCTTCTGCATTTAGAAGAGCTTGATCTATTTTTGAAGACTGAAGGGATTCAATACCACTTGAGCTGTAGGCCTCAAAAACTCAGTGTGCTTAAATAAAACAAAAATAAAAGGAGCAGGTTCACAGAACAGCTATGCCCCATTGTGAATAAACACAGCTTATCTAAATTTAGATGACACTGGATCCATTTAAAATGCCTGTTAAGAACAACACACTACTGTAAAACAGGAACATGAAGCTGTAATGTAACCTACTACATGCTGAAGAGCACTGATTTGTTTACCCATCCTTAGAGAGCAAGGTGCACCTGAGTGATGTCAATGGAAAAAATATGTAGCAGACAAGTCTTGCATCTGCCCAGTTTAGCCTTCTGCTCCATCCCAGAGCACACTGTGTACTATTTAAAGGGAACAGACTGATGTAAGAGAGTGAGAATGTATTTCAAGTTAATCATTACAATCCACACTTTTTCTTTGGACTTATTTGATTTGTGCAATTACGTCTTTCAATAAAGGTCACAACACATGAGAGCCAATTAAGTCTAACACATACAAATGCATGTCATCCCATCTTCTTTCAGGGATGCAAAAACCCCACCACTCCTACAGTTAAACAAACCTCTTCCTCATTAACTTTCCCCAGCTAATGTCTGAGATGACGCATCAGCCTTTGGCTGCCAAGTGACCTGTGCTTCTCTCACAGCAGCCAGGGCACCACATGCGAAACATCTTGTCCATCGAGAACCTTTAGCTTGAGTATTTCAGCAGACCACAGCCATCTAGGTGGTCTGAGGAGAGACACTGTCTCTCAGAGATAACAAGCCAGCCAGGCAGAAAAGAGCTTTCTGAAGAAATTTATACCTTTTGATTCATACGCAAAACTTGCCCTTTGAACAATTTCACTGCAGCTATTTACCAGCAGCCAATTAAACTGTGCAACAGTGATTAAATAAAAACCAGCTACACATTTATTATTTGGTTCTCAACACTGGATGTAAGGCATTGACAGCAAATATTAAGACTACTAGAAATACTTGTTAGAACCTCCACACGAAGAGGTAGATCTTCCAAGTTCACATTTTCTAAAACTAGGATCTTACCCCTCTCATCTTCAGGAGATTTGCACTGGACAGTAACTAATCACTTCCGAAGTAATCTTAAAGTCACTTAAGTGCATGACGAACCCCCTTGGCAAATGGCAAACAATTGCAGTGCTACCTGCCTGAGACCTGGTCTCTGGCAGGCTTTATCAGCCATTCAGCTGGCAAGCAGTGATTTGGCTGAAGTACCACATCTGAGGAGAACACACAACACCCATTGCAAGCGCTCAGAAAACTGTGCCTTCAAATAAGGCATTGTGCTGATTTGACTCCATCTGTTTAATGTACTAATTTAGTTAATTTATTGGGAAAATTCAGTGTAGATGAGGACCAAACCCCCTAATCAAACAGAACTGTCTGACAGACTGACACTTTCACCTCTGACAATCTCAGTGAACTATTAACATTAAAAGCTTAAGGACAATTTCTTTTTTAATCAAAGTCAGTATTAACTATTTGACTGTGATCACTTTAGTGGCTAGAATGAACAAAGCATCAAGTATGAAAGCCATGAAACAGGAGAAGTGGGAACTGGCAGAAGGAAGAAACAACAGGAAGACTGAAGGAGACAGAAAAAGGAAGCTTGGGGAAAAAAGGAGAAGAAAGGAATGTGATAGCTAAAATGAAAAAGATTTTCTTGGTGGTCTGAGGAGGGACACTGTCTCTCAGAGATAACAAGCCAGCCAGGCAGAAAAGAGCTTTCTGAAGAAATTTATACCTTTTGATTTATAGGCAAAACTTGCCCTTTGAACAATTTCACTGCAGCTATTTACGAGCAGCCAATTAAACTGTGCAACAGTGATTTTTCGTCTTGGCCAGATGTCAACAACAACAAGAAGACACTTAAGGTACTACAGTTATTAGCAACAATCCTACAGTCATTCCCATAAAGATAACATCTCCATCCAATGTTCCCAATCCATGGCAAGCAGAAGGAGACTCCTAATATTTACAACTATTTCATAGAGCAGAATTAAAAAGCAGTCTAGTTTTCCCCTGCCTAGGCTGGCCTCTCACACCATCATCCAACCACTGATGCTCAATTTGTTTCTGGCACACACATGGCAGACACCTAATTGGATACCAATGAGGCAAAATTACCAACTGAGAAGATCCCACAGATCAAGCCAAAAACTTCTCATTTTGCTCACCCTGCCATCACTTCCAAATGAAGCTGGCCAGAAACTGTCAGGAAGGCAGGCACATCGAAGAAATGGGTCTTTTCCACAGGTTCTCTTGCCTCATTTGATCTCTGTAAGTCAAAAAATGAGCAAGAAAGTCAGACTATTGGTGTTTGAATAAAAAGCACAGCTCCCAGATTATTTTCCCTTGTTCTCTGAAAAAATTCCATAAGGTTCAACCCAAACACTGCTGAGATGGAATCCAACAGCGTGGTAAGTCATAATACAATGCTCCCCATCTTTGCTCAGACTGCTAATGGGCTCTAAAACCTGTTCAAGCAAAACACGTTAAGAGAAAACCCCACAAGAAAAAGCATTCTTGGGGACTTCTCTTTCTAGGGGTCCGATGCAAATAATGTGTCTGTGTAGTGAAAAGCCATACTTTAAGTGGGAAATACCACAGCTCCTGCCTCCACTTTCGGTGATTTATGAGGATGTGGGTTGTAGGAATCACAACAACTTGCAGAACAAGTTTGTGAACTGTGGCACATACCTCCAGTGTCACCAGCAAAGTTTGGACATGTCAGTACAGAGGAAGGATAACACAGTTCTTTCAGACATTTCTCAAACTAACAGGGATTGTAAATTGAATCACCAGCGACTAGTTATATCAGTTCAGCTGAGAGGGAAGTAACTTGTTAAGATGACACAACTTCAAGGAGTTTGACTGCGTGCCCAAAACTTTGCGGAAAGCACAGAGTTCATAGAAAGCTAAAAGAATATGTGGCTCTTCACGTCTCACCTCTTACCTTTGTATGTGGGTATGTCAGGAGCTCTAAATTTTACTCAGAGAAAAGAATTGTATGACTTAGGTGTTTAAACACCTATGAGCTGAATTAGGAATGACATTGTAGAAAGGAAGGAGGCAACAAAGTGTAAAACAAAATGTCAGGAAGGACATATTCACCATTTATGCAAGCAAGTCTGAGAACAAGACTGGTAGAAATGCAGATTTTCTAGAGTAGCCTCTGATTTTTGGCTCCCCAGTAAAGTAACACACATAAAGCTAAGGGCCCGTCTACCTAGGAGTTTGGGAGCAGGAGGAGAAACTGCATCCCACGTTTCTGGGAAATGCAGACATACAAAATGAAATTCCCCCTGGATTATCTGCTGCGGAACATTTTGCCCAGCAACATACAAAGGAAACATGCCAGCCTATCAACCCAGTCTCCAAATACAAGTATTGATTTTTCTCTCTTTCCTACCAAGATGAACAGTGAGGGGCAGAAGGGAAGAATCTCTGTCACTTGGAAGTCTGAAGCTTCATGCAGCATTGCCTTCAAAATTCCATTTCAAGTCTGGTGAGAAAATGGAGGAGTATTTTCCGTGTCAGGTGCACCGACTTTTAGCAGACTTAAAACCAGTGCTATTTCCTTTTCATGCGCAAATGAATTTGTTTCCATTGCAAAAAGACCAACAGTAATCAGAAGGAAAAAAAAAAAAAAAAGGAATGCAATATCCTCCTATGACCTGTTATTCAGTCTTCAAAAAAAGAAGAACTGAAACAATATGGAGTTGGAAACATCACAGCTTACACATTATATAGGCACTGAAAAACAAGCTATGTTTCATTTCAGCTTTTGCATATTTTTTCAGGTCACCAGCTATTTTAAGCATAAAAAACCTACGAGTAATGGAAAATTTAGCAAGTTCAGTGTTTCATTATGAGAAATGGACTAAAAAACACCCATTCCATTAAAGTGATGGTATATATATATTTTTTTTTTTAATTTACAGGCACAGAAGAAAAATTAGAAGACCTCTGTGTCAAGCACTTTAAAAGTCATTTGAGCATAAGGACTGTGCTTCACCATTTCCCTGGCAGGCACCAAGCTGACTGAAGAAAGTCACCAGTCTCCTGGGCTACGTTAGGCAAGGGAGGGGATCCCTTCCTCTGCACAGCACTGGTGACTCACCAAGATCGCTGGGTGAAGTGCTCGCCTCCCCAGTACAGGAGAGACACGGACATACTGGGGAGAGTCCAGCAAAGGGCCACAAAGATGATTAATGGACTGGAGCATCTTTCCTATGGAGAGAGGCTGAGAAAGCTGGGACTGTTCAGCATGGAGAAGAGGAGGTTCAGGGAGGATCTTATCCATGTGTATAAATATCTGACGGAAGGGAATGAAGAAGGAACCAGACTCATCTCAGCCGTGCTCACTGAGAGGACAAGAGGCAGTGGGCGCAGATTTTAAAAAAGACACACAAAATTTCATCTGACAACAAGAATAAACTTTTTTATTTCCTGTGAGGGTGGTCAAACACTAGAGCAGTTTGCTCAGAGAGACTGTGAAGTCTCCACCTGAGGAGATACTCAAAACTCAGCAGGACGGAGTCCTGGGCAACCTGCTCTAGTTGACCCTGTTTGAGCGCAGTGAGATGGATTAGACAATCTCTAGAGGTCACAATTCTGTGACTTTAAAAAAAAACATGAAGATAAATGAGATTTCTGTTTCAGCATCTTCTATATTTCAATGTCATCCCTAAGCTTTGGAGGAGTCAAAGGTCCAGGAGAAAGACAGAAAGAAACTTCGAAGCTAATTTGAGGTTTGGCTGATCGACATTCAAACGAATGTTTTCTTCTGAGATAAGTTTGACATACGCACTTTTCAAAGTGTAGTTCCTAGGAGTTATGCTAAGTGTTGCTAGCTCAGCTAAGCATGCCACTGCCTCCAGCCACCCTACTCCCCACTTGCTTTGTCACAGGGAGGTTGCTAGGCTCAGGCTTGTTTGCCAGCCTTTGATATTCTACAACCTGCCATTTTTCTCAATGAGTCGGAAGGTGTTGCTTTTGTTGTCAAAAAGCTGTGCTACTCATCGCAAAGATAAAACAGAGTGCACCAAAGACCTCAGATCACAAGGCAGTTTTATCTCTTCACAGCATCACACTGAAGAAAAGAGCAAGCTTGCCTTGCTCCACAGAGATCAATGGAAATATGACAATTTGTGGCTGTAACCCCAGGACTGCTTCCTTTGTTTCATGGGTTTTGCAGTTCTAAAAAAACCAAATGACGACACCCAAGGATGCAGAAGCAGGCCCCTATTGTTTTCTTCAAATAAACCCAGAACATTTGCTCAAAAACAATAAGGATATTAATAAACATACAAACATCCACATATCACAGCCTCAGAGCCACGGCCTGAGCACTAAAGAGAAGAGCCACGTACCGCTCCAGTTTCTCCTACTGCAAGCTTAGTTCAGCTACATTCCTTGTGAAAAAATCCCACCTAATCCTGTAGGATGCGACTTCTAAACAACAAGAAAGAGACAGACTAGAAGCAGGAAAAGAAGAAATCAGCTATGAAATCTCAACACTTCCCCCCAAATCCACAAACAGGATACAGCTGTCTCCAGGAGCTGGGGCTTGGTTTATTTATAATGACTTTGTGTCATTTTTCATTCTCCAAGTCAGATGTAATCTCAGTGAGAGAAAGAGAAAATAGACACAACAGTAAGTGACTGGAGAAAGAAAGCGAGAAGGCCTACAGCTCAAATGGACTTATAAAAACCTGCAGCCAGTTTGAGAGGCCACCGAGAGATCCCGAGATGCGTGTCTGCATTGCGAGCAGCTCCTGGATGGCTTCCAACAGAGGGTGAAGAGTGAACATAGCAATATTTAGATAAAATTTTACTCCCCCATCACCATCCGATCACCTCGCCTCTCCACAGCTGCCCACTTCCTCTCCCTCATTTTGAGACACAAAGTTTGATGAACGGGTGTTGTGAGCTGCAAAAGTCAATCCACCCTCTCCACAGCAAAAAAGAAATGCCTCCCTTCAGCAAGGAGGTATCCCATAATTAGCAACTTCCCATTTCACATGTACAAATATCAACTAACCCACTAGAGGTGGTTTCTCCACTTTACACATTCAAGCACAGGATCAGGTCAATGTTTTCATAGAATCATAGAATCGTTTAGGTTGGAAAAGACCTTTAAGATCATCCAGTCCAACCATTAACCTACACTACCAAGTCCACACTAAACCAATCAAGGGTAGACTAGACTAAACCATGTCCCCAGGTGCCACATCTACCCGTTTTTTGAACACTTCCAGGGATGGGGACTCCACCACCTCTCTGGGCAGCCTGTTCCAATGCTTGACCACCCTTTCCATGAAGAAAGTTCTAAGTTTCAAGTGCCTATGCCCCACATTAAGGCTCAGCCTTTTAGATCAAGCTTGCTCCTTTATTGTAAACAACCACAGTCACTGGTAGAAGACAAATAATAAATAGTAGGTGATGCTATCCCTTCACTGCTGACACTGAGCAAGATTGTTTTTCATGTCCATGACTAGCAAAATGAAATGACAACATCGTGGTGCTTTTATTTCAATTAGATGGACTTTTCTTCCACTTCCCAACCCCAAAATACCTACTTGATAAAAGATTAGTGGGGAATAATGTGTTTGCTTTCAAGTTCTCTCCATTCCCTAGTCGAAAACTACCTAAATTACAATGGGGAAAGAGGGAAGTGGAATCTGTATGAAACATCTTGATGTCTCAGAGTAAACGTGCTATAAACATAGTAGGATTCAACATCAACATCAAAGGATTTTTATTCTCATTCTAAATACGAGAACAACTGGATTTAGTACCTGTTTTGTCCTCCATCTCCTGAAATGTCTAATGATTTAATTTAAAATTATTCCCTTTGATGTCAGTCTTGTATTAACTTTTACTTGAGGCAATCAGCTTCAGGGAAGTACAAACCGTTTGATTCTGTCTTTCACTCTATGCAAGCCAAATGCACGAAGGGATCAGAGAAGACTTGAAAAAGCTCATAGAAATCACTGCTGTAGCTCTAGCCCAGGCCCACACCACCATGCTGCTGAAACACAGCGCATCTTTAATCTGGACCTGCCCTCTGTGATGTCTCATTATAAACATGATTGGGTTTTCCTTTTTCGACAACCACTGCAGAATTCATAACTTCCAAGAACTCCTCCTTGCACTTCCAGTCCTAATTCTGATCAGCTGGACTTGCATTGGGCAATAGCAGCTGGTTCTGCTGAGACAAACATCTCATAAATATGGACTGGAATTACAGGCAGAGATGAACCAGGTAGAAACGAGCAGAAACTGGGAGAGCTAGAAAAGGCAAGAGCAAGCCCTCCCTCAGCTCAGTTCCAGCTTACCCTGATGGCTGCTGAGCACCTCTCTGAAGTCCCAGTCTCCCAGGGACTGGCTGCCTCCCAGACTGTGACACATCTCTAAGGGGAAAACACCTGACAGACACTAATACTGTTGTATTTAACTGCGATTCTCCCCAGCAGATCCCAGCCTTCCTTGGTGCTGACAAGGCTATTTTTCAGCGGTACCAAAGGAACCGTAGGAGTAAGTTTCTGCATCTTCAGCAGCAGGCACGTATTTCTGGCGCCACAATAGGCGCAGCCATGAACTTGCACCTTTCGGGTATCTAGAAACTTTTACATTCACTCCTGTGAGCAGGTGCCAAAAAACCCCCCGAAGCCAAACGCCCTACAATCTCTGGATACATTTTAGAGAAGAACCAATACCTGAATGGTTCTTCAGATTTAGAGTTAAGTATCCTTTCAAATCACAAAATAGCCTGATCCAGACCCTGGGTTCAATCAAACAACACCCAGCTGCAATAAGGTACGTGTGTTGGAAGAGGCAAGCCTGATACAGAGCACATATTACCTCCGCTGGAGACAAGAGGTAGAATGCAGCACTCCTTACACGTAGAGCAAGGTCCCCAGGAAAGGATAAGGCCACAGGCAATACAAACCACATGTGAGATCTACTTTAAAGAGCTGTGAATGCCAATACAGCTGTTGTGCTTTGTAACTCACTGCATGCTGAGTTCTTTTAAAAGGCTGCAGCTGGGCAGCAGGGAAAGTGGCTGTCCAGGGCCTCACCAAACCAGCTGGAGTGTCCAGGGCCAGAAAGACTCTTCTAGAGCATAGAGGAGCCTCCACTTTCTCCACAGCAGCTGAGGACATCAAACAAGGAAACTTTCCAGGGAGCAAAGTGGAAAAGACAGAGCAAGAGACCCAGAAAGCAGGGAGCCTTCAACACTGCAGACAGAGTGGGAGGCTACCGAAAATAGCAGGGAACAGACATGCAGCCAGGTCACAAAGACAAAAGAAAGGCAGATTTCCTAGGAAGCAGCCCCAGAAGGGGACTGGGTAAATTTTCTTGCAACATACAAAGCTGCTAAGAATTTTAGACTTCAGAACAAAAAAAGAAAAATGTGCGGAAAGGATCTGCCCTGAGGTGCCAAGAAAGACAGTACAGATGAATTATTCTCAGATTAAATGAAAATAAAATAAAATAAAAAGGGCAGTCTCACCCTGCTGATGTCAGTTCTCCTTATTTCAAAAATTACCTTGTCCTACTTTGCATCCTACTAAAACCCAGCTTTCAATATTCAAAGCTCTCTTGGCATTTTCAGTAAGTTCACTTTAAAGAAGGCAGCATGAACAAGAGGCTTCCCCCCCTCCAGCATTCCACCAAAGTTCCACTTCTGGCAGTTTCTCCTCAAACCTATACTTTTCAGGTGTAGAAAGTCTCAGGTGCAAAAGATTTCTCTGGAGTTCTTACTATCTTGCAAATTTATTTAGTTTTTAAAATCTCTGCTTACCAACCTCTTTTCACTGTTATGGTACTTCATTTTAAAAATATTTAGCTGAACTGATTTGCCCAGCAGAGAGGGAAGGGATTCTCCCCCATCCCAAGTCCTAGTATGAGAACATCCCAGCCAAAGCTATGTACAGACTAATCAGTATGCCCAAAACCAAACAAAGATAGTGAGGAAGCTGAACATATAAACAAACACAAATCCTACAGCATTAAGAGGTCTAGGAATAAAGATCATATGCCTTCAAAAAGCCTTTTCCTTCTAACTCAAGATACTTCTTTCCCCATCTCTTCAAGTCTCATGTAAAAACAGATTCCTACTCTCTTCACTTTCCACCATTTCCAAAGAATGCAGGGGCTTGAGCAGCCACCAGACATTAGTCAGAGGATTAAAATTGCGCTAGTCAGGAGAAGACAGCTATTAAAAGGCAATGGTTCACAGTGGGCACAAAAGCAGCCTCTACTTGGGTCCTAAAGGCTACACAACCAAAGTTTTCAACTTATTCCACCCACAGCAGGACAGCTAAACTGGCATTTTACATACTGCCCAAGGGAGCTAAAACAAACAAACAAAAAAAACCCCCAAAAACCAACCTGTAAGCAGCTGGTGTATTGTAACTACTACAAATTCAGGAGCAATAGGACACCAATTTACTTTCTGGTTGCAACTACAGGACAGGTCTCAAAACCTTAAGTCCAGGATTTAAACTTCTTTTAAATTGAAGAATCTAATTCGCAGGTTGCTTTCACCGATTCCCATCTCTGTAATTCTTGGCTACTGCTCAAATATAAGAGCAATAGGAATTTATTTTCTCCCTTGGCCTGTGCAAGCAGTGAATTAAGGGCAAGTTTAAAAGGGACTGAACACAGCAGACGAGGAATGCACTGATAGCTGATTTGATTAAAAGCATATAGAGATTGTGGGCTTTGCTGCACATAACACACCCTTATTTTCATTTGTGACAGCCCCACATGCATGGCCCAAAGAAGACTTAATCTTCCCCAGATTTCCACTGTCAAGAAACAGTGTCACTGCTCCAGTGGAGTGAAGTGGTCACAGTGGGATAGCAAGTAGTCTTGGATCTCTGCTAGCCAAGATCAATTCTGAACAGAGCTTTGCAGAAATAAAACCAAGTCCTAAATTAGGCCAGACAATGAAGCAGTGCTCAAAGAAGAAACAGGAAATCAAGGAGAACTTCCCACTTCCCAGCAACAAGTGGGTTTCTGAAGCCCTTTCTTTGTGGCACTAGCCATGTAATGGGATCTGACTCGGCACTTACTCCACACCTTTCAAGCACAGCTGTCACTACATTTCTCCAAGACAGGTATTATTTACACCTAAGCAATCACACTGGAGAGAAAGAGATTTGCTTTGAACTACGCATTTAGTTAAGATCCAGTTTATACAAGTTTCAGATTCACACTTTAGCACCTCAATCAACACTTGCATCAGTGCTTCTGTTACTACCAGCCACCTACGCTGTAGTCCTGCATCCTTTACAGCTTTCAAGTGGATACAATTTGTACCAAAGACGTAATATACTGTACAGCTGCAAACTGTATAATGTTCTCATCATCAAGTGTCACTTGTTTTCACATCTTAATTTGCATGCAACAGCCTGGAACGAACCTTTGGTAGCATTAAGGGATCTCAATTAAACAGGAACAATTTAGTTTAGCTAATCAACTCTATTGTCCCAGCAAGCAAAAAGCTGAGCCACATGTACTGGTCTGGAAGGGAATCACTAGTAGCACAGGTTAGACCTTGAGATCCAGAAGAACCAGTACATGAAGGCTGTTTGTCATGAGGCTGTGCAGAGAGCGGAAGATGCGATCCTGCAGCAAGCAACTGCTACCTCAACAATTTTTCTTTTGCTTGCAGATGATTCACCAGCAAGGCTAAAGCCAATTAAGTGGCAATGGATGTAATTGTTTGAGACAGAAGAGTGAATTTCAAATATAGAAGTATAAAAGGCAGATGGAATTTCGTATGATTCATGGACGTGGGGGTTAGGAATCATGAGAAATCTGTGGGGAAGATCTTAGTGGTTATAGCTGTATTTAAGTTTCATAGGAGGCTTTGACCCAAGACGTGAAGTACTTTATATAATGACGGATTGTGGCAGTAATTTGGTGGATGGATGGGGAGACTTGGCAACATTGGGGGAGAATTCTGACATGCAACACAAGCAGCTTGTAGGGAGGAATATATACACAGGTGAAAAGGAGTTTTAGGTATTGCTGACTTTCTTTTAAGGAGTTATCTCATGGTGAATTATATTCTCCATTTCAAAACTAAGAAATATTTGCGTGTAGTAGGCTGTTCTGAGTGTCCCATCCCGTCTCATGGACTCTTATGATCACATCTTTCTATTTACTAAGATGTTCCACCTCCCTCTGTTGTTCTTTGTAAACTTTTCCACAGCACCAGGGATAGAAAAACCTCATCAGCACAAAACAGCTATTAAAAAAAAATAATGCATCTGTTTAACTCTGTCTAAATTATTAGTTGAAGCAAAGGACTGCTACATTAAAAAGTAATCACAGAAGTACATAAAGGAAAGGTTTTGTAAAGACAAAGGTTTCCTCTAACCTTCAATGACTCCAGAATTGCTCTGCAAGCAAAAATCAAAACAAACTTTACGCAACCCAACTTACCTCAATTTGAAAGAGTTCCCCAGCACCTTCACAGTCATTTGATGTAATTATGGGGGTATGAATATGCACGTAGCCATTATCCTGGAACAAACAGAACACTAAAGCTAAAGATATCGAACATTAACTTCAAGGATGACATCAACCAGCACACATCATAACTCAGCTATTAGCCCCTGACAGCATATGTACTCTTTCAGGCAACTTCTGCCTTACATGAACAAAGACAGAGGACTAACTAAATGCTAGCGTTATTTACAAATCAATGTTTATTAGTTGTGCTTCTTCCTCCACTTTTCATAAAGAAATAAGATTTATGCCATTACTATGGGTTTTTGCAACGGCCCATCTCCACACCATTCCCCTTTCTTTTCACCCCCTCCAGTATTTTTATGGTTTTGGGCAGTTTCAACCTAATTCACCCCTATGGCCTTAACGACTGAGTTTCTTCCAGCTTTTTGGCAGCTGGTGGTTGGGCGGAGGACGCTCTCGGTGTTCTCCACTAACAGAAATGATCAAGTGTGTTAGATGACAGAAATCACACACTGCATTGGAGAGAGGCCTTAAAACCACCCAACCACTATGAAAATGTCAGTCCCACCTCACATCTTCTGAGATATCAAAGTTAAACTGATTTTTAAGAGGCAGGGTATACCCTGGCTTGGTCATGTTCTAGATATCTGGAGAATTACTCGTTCATGTTCATAGATCCAGCACAGGCCTCTGAAACCAGGAAGGCTGTATGGAGAAAGAGCCCCTATTCTCTGGGTTTCTCTGCAGTGCAGCTATAGGCTTTCAAACCAGCTGCAACCCAGTTTTCAGTGGATGGGTTGTGCTGGGCTGACCCTGGCTGGATGCCAAGTGCCCACCAAAGCCACTCTATCACTCCCCTTCTCAACTGGACAGGGGAGAGAACATCTAATGAGAAAGCTCATGGGTCAAGATAAGGACAGGGAGATCACTCAGCAATTACCGCAAAACAGACCCGACTTGGGGAAAACCAGTTTAATTTATTACCAATCAAAACTGAGTAGGGTAATGAGAAATACAACCAAAGCTTAAAACACCTTCCCCCTGGGCTCAACTTCACTCCCCATTTTCTCTACCTCCTCCCCCTGAGCACACACAGAATGGGGGCTGCGGTCAATTAATCACACACCATCTCTGTCGCTCCCTCCTCCCCAGGGGAGGACTCCTCACACTCCTCCCCTGCTCCAGCGTGGGGTCCCTCCCATGGGAGACAGTCCTCCATGAACTTTTCCAATGTGAGTCCTTCCCATGGGCTGCAGTTTTTCATGAACTGCCCCAGCGTGGGTGCCTTCCACGGGGTCACAAGTCCTGCCACCAAACCTGCTCCAGCCTGGGCTCCTCTCTCCATGGGGCCACAGCTCCTGCCAGGAGCCTGCTCCAGCGTGGGCTTCCCCCAGGGTCACAGCCTCCTTGGGGCACATCCCCCTGCTCCGGCGTGGGCTCCTCCCCGGGTGCAGGTGGATCTCTGCTCCCCCGTGGGCCCCCATGGGTGCAGGGGCACAGCTGCCTCGCCATGGGCTGCACCAGGGGTGCAGGGGAATCTCTGCTCCGTGCCTGGAGCACCCCCTGCCCTCCTTCTGCACTGACCTTGGTGTCTGCAGAGTCCTGCCTCTCACATATTCTCACTCCTCTCCCCGGCTGCATCGTCAAGCAGACCTCAGACAATCACATACACCATGTTAGAGGCAAAACCGGGAACAGAACTCTACTAACCATCACCTTCCTAACTTAGTCTCAACACAGAGATCACTGGTGGAACACAGAGATCATACCTGTGCATGTCAAGGCAAGCAAGAACCTGGAACAAGCTGATTTCATCTGTGAACAAAGGATTTGTTTTCTCTTGCATCACTGTAATGTCTAGCACAAAGGGAACCCCTTTAAAATCAGGGTGTGCCAGCATTACCATGATACAGGCAATGATGTAGCACAACCCATTGTCTATTTACACAAAATACTAATAAAAAAATAAAAAAGCAAATGTTTCCAAAAGCTTAGTTTCACAGCTTTTACCAGAATAATACAAATTGACCATTCACATGATAGGTCCTGATCCTTATCACCAGCTAGTTAAAAGGCTAAGAAGACAGGAGCAGTATTTACTGCCCATGCGGTGAATCAAACTAAGATTAATTTGGACCAAAGAGCTCATGCAGCGAGCATTTATGCAATGCATTTTATGGAAGTACTCCGAGATGACCAAGAGGGAGCAAAGTCCCTGCAGTCAGCTCTAGGCTACCTTGGTTACAGGTGCAGAGACCTTGGCTTGCCCAGTGCCTGGCAGGAGCTCCTCACTGAGATCCAGTTACTATACAGAAAGAAGTTTTGGAGCCAGAACTACTTGCTTTGCCCAGGGAGGGCAGTTTTAACCTTCCGATATAAAATGCAGGTCTCTGCCATAATCCCATGCATATTCCAGAGATCTGCTGGTCAAGCAGCCTCCCAACCCTACATGAGTTTTTGGAAAATTGCCTAAATGACAGCAACTGCTACCACTGTATGAGGAAAGAAGCACACTTCACAGAGAAGACCCTTTACATGCTTTGGAAAGGAATATGAACTCCACAGGTCTGAAAGATGAGAATCCCCTAAAAACCTCCTGCATAGTGCCCCTTATAAAAGCTCCTAAAATACTTCAAGTCACATTACTGTCTCTGACAAACCTGGAAGTTAATTAATGTGCAAAGTGGAGGTTGCCATTCACATTGCAACTATTTTACGGTGCCTAGGAACAATGTTCCTATCCCACATGGACCACAATACTCAGGAGAAGATTTAAAGATGACATTTTAGCCTTCAACTTCCAAACCAAAGGCATTTGGTATTAGTTATTCACTGCTGGAAATGAACAGGCTTTAAAAAAGGAAAAAAGAGGAGGAAAAAAGAGGAAAGGAGGAGGAAAGGAGGAGGAAAAGAGGAGGAAAAGAGGAGGAAGAGGAGGAAAAGAGGAGGAAAGGAGGAGGAAAAGAGGAGGAAAAGAGGAGGA